ATCAAGGAGCTCCCTATTTTATAATTTATAATTTACATTTCTTTTTCAGATAACTCTAGTTATTAGAAAGTTCCTCATCTTGGGCCAAGGTCTGCCTCCTGGTTGTTGTAACTTTAAGGCCTCGCCCTCTGGAGCTGCAAAGAGCATGGCTAGAGCCAATTATCCATCCATTCCCAAGCACTGTCAAGTCAGAAGGGAAGGAGAGGGCATCCTCTCCTCTGGAATCCAAACTAAGACGCCATCAGCTGTCTTGAACTGCCGGCTCCCTGAGAACATCCTCATGACAATTCCAGTAGTAGACAGGCAAAAACAGGATTGCATCCTATTCCCATTTGACTCAGATTTTTTCTGCAAGGCTGCCATGTTTTGAGACCTTTTCTTTCACCACAGCTTGGAGATTACGAGTACTTGGTGTCCATTAAAAAAGTTGCTCTTAAATTTTTAGAGATGATCTGAGTGATCATGGACAACAATGGAATGAATGTGTGATGAGGGCTAGATCCAGGGACATGTATTGGCTGAGATTTTAAGGGCATTTTGATATCCATGCTTGTCATGGAGGGCTTTCCCACCTGTCAGTTTATACAAGATAGTAGACTTTTCATTACAATTATGACATTATTGTTGTACTAATTGGAGTGGTGGCAGCTCCCAGTCATTTTGTACTTTCCTGACACAGCTCTGGTGTGGCATGAGTGTGGTTACCCTCAGTGATTTTCAGAGGGCCCGAAGTCACACAATTACTAGCGGTCAGACCAGGACTTGAACTCAGGTCTTTTGACTCTGGGGTCAGTGTGTTTTCCAATGTACTGACACACTTTCTTTAATATCACCATTCTACGGGAGGCAGACATGGTCTAAGTGTGCCTGGAGTCGGAGGACTTAGGTTCAGATCCCACGTTGGGCACTTACTAACTCTGTAACCTTGGGCCAAGAACTCGATCTCTCTGGGTCCCAGTTTTGCCATCTGTAGAGTGAGGAGGTGGGGGAAGATGGCCTCTGGAGCCCCTCTTAGCTCAAGTGCGACCATTTTCGGAACTGAAGTGCCTTCTCCTCACTCTTGTAAACTTCCAGTTGCCTGAGGCTTCCTCGAGACCACCCTTTAAATCACAACTCACGACCATCACTGCCACAACACTTCCAGATGGCTCCACCTGTTCTTGAACCTGCTTTTCCCCTCAATGAACTGTCATAGCTGCCGTACATATGCGGGTCGACTTACATCTCTCTATCTTATCTCCCTTTTTAGACTGGGAGGTCTTTGTGGGCAGAAACCATATCTGTTCTGATTCTGTAGCCAGTACCATGCATTCTGTAGGTCAGATAAAGGAATACTTGACCATCCACCCCACATAAAAAAAGACCAGCGATGCCGGACGGGGTGATATCACAGGCTAATCAATAATTCAGCAGGCTGACCAGATGGTGCGACTATTGTCCCCAGCCATTTGTACCCTGATGCAAGAAGAGGACCAGCCTTGGGAAAATTGGTCTATGCTTTGGACAAAACTGGCCAATCAGAATGTGGCCTTTCATGGTTCCCTCAGGCCTTTCTAGAACAGAAGAGGGGTTGGCGGGAGAGGAACTTGGCTGCCTTCTCTTCATATGTTTGTCAGGAGATGGCTCGAACTCTACCAAGGATGCTGTCCAAGTGCTAGCACGGGAAGGGGGGGGAAGGATTTTTTCTGAGGGGGGCCCACCTTTGCTTGAGGGAAAGTACTCAGCTTTTGCTCCAGTAGTAGACTGAGGCTGCTGGCCTAGGGATGGGGACTGTGGGGGTCTGAGCCTAAAGAAGGATGATCTGGGGGACTCTCCTCCCATGGGAGAAAAACTCAGGAGGGGCCTGCCAGAGCCCCAGTGAGTGTGCCTGGATGGAGAAAGGTTTTCTTGCTCCAGGCTTCACGTGCACGTTATAAACAGCTTGGGATGGCAAATTTCAGGCTGGGCTCCTGATGGCTGAATAATTGATGAGCATATGATATCACCTTTGTCTGGGCCCCAAACTGTCAGGCTGCTCCACGAGGGGCAGGGGACCCCAGGAATGAAATCCTTGGAAAAGCTAGTCACCAAGAAGCCTGCCTCTATCCCCAAGAGGAAGCAAGGAAGGAAGAAATGAAGATAAAAGGAATCCTGCCCCAGGCAACTCCATCCTTGCCCTTCCCTCCCCACCTATGAGGGCCAAAAGACCTTCTTCAGACCCGGGGCTAAGCTGGGGCCATGTGTTACTCTCACAAGCCCTGCTGTGGTTCTGTTCAGGGATTGGATCTGATACAAAGGAACCAATGCAGGCACCCCGGCCTCAGTTTCCTAAACTGTAGAGCGAGTGGATTCCACTAGATGGTCCCAGAGATCCCTTCCTGCTCCAGATCTCTTCTCCTGATTTACTTCTGCTCTCTGGGCCTCAGTTTCCTCATCTGTAAAATGAGGGGGTGGGGTTAGGTGCCTTCCTTGGTCCTCTCCAGTTCTAAATCCAGAATCCCAAAGTCTCCACAAATAGGCTTGGGACTGCTTCTTGAGGGTTACTCCCTCCCCAGGCTCTCCATGGCCTCCAGGGCTCGACCCCTCTGCTAGACTAAGGACGCTGAGTCAGGGCAAACCCGAACTTGGTCCCGGGCAACTTGTTCACTGTATCTCTTCCACAAACCCTGGACATGAAGCCTGTGCTGCAAAGCCAGGCCAGCCTCTCTGCACAGGGTTGGACGCATCCCCATGCCTCTGCCTGCCCTGCTGCCCTGGTCTATGAGGACCCCACCATCTCTCCTCACATTCCAGGAAGGCCTCCAGGACTTCTCCTGCCTGCCCTTGAGTTCCCATCACACACGTTGTGTCTATGCTTGTGTTTTATTTAGAATTTAGATGTAGATGCCACGTCCAGGGCAGGGACTGTGTTCTCTGCTTCCTCGTCTTCCCTTCGTGGCAGTTATTAAATTAATAGCAATTAATAAAGGGACTAGGGTGTGTGTGGCAAGGGGCCGAGTGGCTCCTGGGTCACACAGTCAGCTCCCCCTCCCCATCTGTTGGCCAGACACTTGCCAGCCATTTGCTTGGGGATGGGATCGAGGGGCTCTAAAGGTGGCAGGTGTTGGGTGCCCGATGTTTGCCCCCATCCCCAGGGAAAGAGGAACCTGCTGCCCGGCAGTATCTCAGGGTCCTGTTTTCTGAGGCCAAGCACGTTCTAATCATCCTGCAAGGGCTGGGGGCCTTCTTCATGCTGGATTTCCCTGTCAGCCACTGGGGGATTGAGATGTGAACAGCCACCCCTACCCAGCCCTGCCTGGCCAGGGCACCTCACCTGCCCACTGGGTCACACAGATGACAGCCAGCTGAGGGCCCACAGGCTCCCCCCGCCCCCGCAGATCTTTTATTTGCTACTCTGCCCTCACTCCCTCCCCTTCCTAGGCCTGCAGGTGTCCCAGGGGATAGGGATCATCTGCCCCTTTGTACAAGGGGCCCAGTCCCACCCACTACTCTGCAGTTTTCTAAAGCAGGGAGGGGGAGGGCAAAGGAACCCAAAGAGCAGTGGGCTGAGCCCATGGTAACCCGAGCCGACAGAAATTTGCCTGGACTATTCCCTGGTGATCACTGCCCAACCCTGCCCTGGAATACTGACCTTCTTAGGAACCTGCATTTAATCCTGGACAAAAAATGTCTGAGATAGCAGTACTTCCCTAAAAGCACCCCAGCCCCGGTATTGGGCCCCAGGGAATATAAACAATCTCGTGGCATCTCTATAGTCAACAAAGAGGCTGAGCAGCCTGACCAGGCTGTGTCCTCACCAGCCCACGACCCAGGCTGGTCGCTGCACTGCAGAGACCCCCGCCCCCCCAGGTTCCAACCCACCTGGAGGGGATCAGTCAACCCCAGGCACCATTAAGTGCCCACCATGTGACAAGTGCCAGGCATACAAAAGCAAAAGAGACGGTCTCTTCTCTCAAGAAGCTTCCGTTCTCTCCAGGGTGCTGTAAGGGGAGCGAGTCAGGACCCCTGGCTGAATGCTGTACCAGCACTGGGGCTGCCCCAGAGACCCGGAGGGGAACTGCCGGGCTGGTCTCCCCGCTCAGCTCCACATATGGCAATCAGCTTTCTGCTGGGGGGGTGGGGAACGGGGGGCAACCTGCCCCAGCACTTCCTAAAGGACCAGAATCAATTAACGAAATGTACTAAATAAACACCTGCTATGTGCTCAGAGCTGTTCTGAGGAGGCCAGGGTGACAAATACCTGGTCCCTGTCCCTGAGGGGGAAATGTATCCCTTTACGGGCGTGATCTCAGTTCCTACAGGGGTTGGAAGTGGAAAAAGAAAAGGGACCTTCCAGTTTTCCAGGCTGTTCCAGGCAGGTTGGATAAATGCCCCCATACCTAGTTCTATTAGCTATGTACATCCCCCCTCCTGGTCCCCTTGGTCTGCCCCCATAAGTCTAATCTGCCTCCCCTTCCCCCCTGCCCCCACTTCTAGCTAGCCTTGGTCTTTCCAGGTTTAGAGTTTATAGCCTTCCCTATTCTATGGCTACACTAAAGGGGGGCATCTCTACCTTGCTGGGCTCTCTGCCCATACACCTGAAGCAGGTATGCTGGGCTCAGGGAGAGAGACGCAGTGCACCCCAACCCTTCCAAACCTGTTGGGTTTTATGGACAGTTATGGGACAGTCAGACGGCTTGGCTGGGAATCTCCATTTCCCTGGGGTGAGGAGGACTGGTAACCCCCGGACGTAGCCCCTATGGTGGCAGAGAGGATGGAGGTGAGGTGCTCATCGGGGCATCCCTTTCCTCAATTTCCGGAGAGATTCTCCTCAGCAGACTGGGAAGCAGCTGGGAGAGCCCCCTTCCTTCCCACCTTCTCTCTGCCTCCCTGGTTCCACTCTCTCTTCCCTCCCACACGCTGGGAGCTGGGGATTAACGATAAAGAAACTTTCACTGATCACGGGAGGTAGCTCCAGAATGGAGGGGCTGGGAAGAGAGGGAAGGACGGGTCACCGGCTAGAGCCCCCGCAGCTCACTTACCATCTTGCTCACATCCATGACCGAGTCTGGGGTCGGGAGGCGGACCAGATTCCGGCTCCCCCAGTGCTGCTACTCCTGGTTAATTGGGTGCTGGCAGTGCCATGTTAGCGGGCAGAGGGGCAGGGAGAGCCTGCCGTGGAGCGCGGGGCTCCCATGGAGCTGGGCAGAGCAGCAGGACCCAGGCTGGACTGGCAGAGAGGAAGCAGGGGAGGGCGAGGGGGGTGGAGGGAGGGGAAGAGATTAAAAAGCTGTGAGTTGCGGCAGCGCACAGAAAGGGGGGGGTGGGCGGCGGGATGGGGAAGAGAAGGATGTAGGGGGGAGGAGGGGGCCTGCGGCAGCTCCGGAAAGCAATCCCCCCCACGCCTGCCCTCCACCTGAGAGAGGAAATGTAGAAATCAGCTGGTGCGAGAGGCCGAGAGCCACAGGGAAGGGAGAGGCAAGAATAAATCGGCAGATCCCAATGGCTGCAGCGGGCTGGTGCACCCAAGCCAGCAGCAGCAGCAGCAGCCTCCGCGGCAGAGCCCGAAGTGTGTGATTTGAATAACAAAAGGTCTCTTCTCCCGCGGATGGGGCAGCTATTGAGAGATGAACCAGTGGTGGGAGAGCCCAGCCCAGGCAGCCAGAGCCTGTGTGTGTGTGTGAGTGTGTGTGTGTGTGTGTGTGTGTGTGTGTGTGTGTGTGTGTGTGTGTGTGTGTGTGTGTGGCAGGCAGGAGGAGTGGGGAGAAGAGGGAAGGGGGAAGGGGAGGGGACCTGTCTGACAATCAATCTGACTCAGGAAGCGGAGGCAGGCCAGCTGAAATAGGGGAAGGGGATGGCTCCGCGATGCCCCCCCCATCACCATCACCAGGGCCCCCAGGTCGCTGCAGGGACGGTGGCGGGGAGTGGGTAGGACGGTCCCCGGGGCCCCTCCCGACCTGGGCTGGGATAGACAATGAATGAATTCACCGCTAGGCTTTTCTGGGAGGTGAAGCCAAGGCTGCCAGAGAGGAAGTGAGACAAGTGCTGTCCCCCCAGCAACACACACACACACACACACACACACACACACACACACACAGTGTGCTAGGGAAAACCACTGAGGCCATCAGGCGGTCAGTGAGAGGCAGCCCTTTACTGGAAATGAGCAGCAAAGGGCATTGGCCGAGGAGCTGGAGCACCTGGGGTCATCTCCTATCTCTGTCACTTAGTATGACTGTGGCAGTCACTTCACCTCTGGGCCTCAGTTTCCTAACCTGTAAAATGAGAGGGTCTCTGAGGCCCCTTCCAGTTCTAAAACTATAATACCATCATCATTTAATCAATAAACACAGATTAAGAGGATACTGGGTGCAAAGACGTGAGCTACACAGACAAAAGCAGAAGTCTCTGCCCTCAAGGAGCTTCCAGTCTACTGGGGGAGAAAAAAACAACAAAGGTGTATATACTCACACTCATACAGAATGTGTGTATAAATACATATGCATATACATGTATGTAGGTAAAATTGGCTGGGGGCGGGCATTAGCCTCTAGGAGATCAGGAAAGGTCCGTGGAGAGGGCGGCATTTGAGCTGAGCCTTGAAGGACACTTGGGATTCTGAGACGTAGAAATGGGGAGGGAGAGGGTTTGAGGCACAGGACACAGCCAGTGCAGATGTGTGGAGGTGGGAAGCAGGAAGGCCAGTAAGAAGGGCCTCCTAGGATTCTATCAAGATGAGTCTTAGGTGAAGGATCTAGAGCTTAGAGGTGCGTGGTCCAAGCCTGAGCTCATTCTCTCTGGGACTGAGGCTTCAGCAGAAAGTACCGAGACTCCTAGGTCCCAGGCTTTCACCACTTAGTGCCTCAGTCAACAAGCATACATTAAACACCTACTGTGTGCTGGGAGAGAGGCATTATGGAATAATGCAGAGAGAAGCAGCCTCAGATTCTCTAACAGACTGGCTGTGTGACCTTGGCCAAGTCAACCTCTCAGTCACCTCCTTGAGGAATTCCTTCATCAGCAGTTCTCTACTGATGAAGTCACAGACCCAGCCAGACCAACATCCCAGGCAGTGCCACACATGCCTCAAGGGCAGAGGCTGTTTTCTCTCTCGTCTCAGCACAATGCCTGGCACACAGCAGGGGCTTAACACAAGATTGTTGGATTCGAGTGTATTGGAGTGAGGGTCGTGGTCCGGACCTCCAAAAGAAGAGACCAGACGCAGACTTTCGGCACCAGAGGAGAGACCGAGCTGAGCAAAGGCAGTTTTAAGGACAGAGCTCTTGAAGGTGCCTCTCCAAGCCAAGCTCTCCTGCTCTGCCTGAAGCAGTGAAGGCATGTGGTAGAGCGTGGCCCCAGAGGCCACATCACTTCTGGTGGGGGGGCCACTGAAGGGGAGGCACTTCATGTCCAGAGGCACAGGGTCACACCTGCTCCCCGTTAGGGTGCCCAGCTTTTACAAATGCTTTCACATCAAGCAAGGGTAGAGCTTCAGGCTGAGGTCACACTGGTGTGGTGCCAGGCTCTGCCTCGTGGGGAGAAGACCCAATCCCTTCAATAACAAAGCCATTGCCTGGTATCCCTGGATAGAACTGGGGAAATAAATCAGAGGGTATAAATTGTACGGCAGGAATACAGGGGCAACACTGGGAAGTCCTGGTCCCACATGCTTCACTCTCACCAGAGTAAGGGTTCAGGAAAGCCCTTGAGCGACTGTAAGGTCAGGACTTCACTGCCAGGCCACTGCTGTGCTCGTATCCCAGCACTCCCTCTTAGGTCCCTGACCCTTGTCTTAGGATTACAGGATCAGAGACTTACAATGGAAAGAGATCTCTGAGGTTATCTCACCAAAGTGCTCAATTTACCAAAGAGGAAACTGAGGCCTGCAGAGCTGAAATGACTCGGCTAATGTCACTGGGGTAATAAACATCAGCATTGGAACTCAGATCTTCTGATTCCACATTTGGTGCTGTTTCCCACTGTACCACATTCCCTCTCAACTTAGGGCCTCTCTCTGTTCCCCTCATTCATCCCAGTCTACCCTTGAGAAAGTCCAAAATACCGGATGGACCAATGAGGATTTTTCACTTTTGCCTTTGTGCCCCCATTGCCAGGCACATAGTAGGAGCTTAATAAATGCTTGTTGATTGATAGATGGAATGTCAATGTTCTCCTCTGTGTCCTACTCAGGTCCAAGGCATAAGAGGTGACTTGCCCAAGGTCACACGGCCAGTCTGTGTTAGAGACGGGAAACTAAAGCCTATTCTTCCAAAGTCTCAGGCTGCTTCTCTCTGCATTATTCCACAATGCTTCTCTCCTGGAACACAGTAGGTACTTAATGCATGCTGGGTGAATTGAATTGAATTCACAGAGTGCCCAACTTGAGGCACCAAGTGGTGAAAGCCTGGGACCCAGGAGTCTCCATTCTTTCCCCCTTCCCACCCCCAACAGAAATCCAAACAAACCTCCAAAGGCAACCCTAAGAGGGAAAGCATTAGCCTGGACTTGGGAGAGAAGCCTCTATTCTTGGCTCTGACCTCAGCAAGTCCTTCCCCTTGGCTCCACGTTCCCATCAAATGGGGGAGATGATACAGAGAGCCCCTCCCACCTGTTTGGAGAAAGATGCTGCCTTCCCACCCCTCCCCCCCAGTCCCAATGAGCCAAGAGGGCTGAGGAGTTTTGGGGGAGTCGCTTCCAAAGACGTTTTTGCTTGGCTTTGTGACCCCTCCCCCCATGGCTGGCCCTCATTCCTTCCTAACTCAAGGCCCAAGTCTGCTGGAGCAGCAGAAGGCAGACCAGGAAGGACCAGGGAGCTTACTACAAATACAGGCATCCCCCAACCTAACATGGATCATTCGTTCTGTCAACCAATGAGCACTTATGAACACCTCTGTGCTCCCCAAACACGACAAGTCCAATTAGCCTAACAGGGCAGCGAGCTGCCTGTTCACAGAATCACTGAATTTCAGGGTTGAGCGGGGGCTCAGAACCACCTTCCCCAGCCCAACTCCGGCTATACCAGCGACCAGTGAACATTGAGGGGTGCCTGAGCCCTTCTGGCCAGTCTGAGCAGTGCAGTTTGGCCTCTGTAACTTTGACAACCACCAGCTGCCCTCTTGGACTACGAAGAACAAGGCCAACAGCCCACCAAACGCTTGAAGACAGCTCGTGTCCCAAAGGACACGATGCTCCTTCTCTAGGCTAACCCTGCCCAGTTCCTTCTACTAAGAAGGTACCAAAAGATTAAAAGCTAGGCCATCTGCTCACTCAGGATCACAGACCCAGACCTGGAAGGGGCCTCCTAGGCTACTAGCCCAGCCTGACCATTTTACAGACAGGGAAACTGAGGGCCATGGTCAAATGACCAGTCCTGCTACTTCCTGGCTATTATCTACCACCTTGGGCATATCCAGGCCTCAGTCTCCTCATGTGTAAAATGATGAGCTTGGACCAGAGGGTCTCCATTGCCCCTTCCAACTCTTCTGAGGTCATCCAGGTGGGAAGGTGGCAGAGAAGGATTCAAACCCAGGCCCTCACTGGGACAGTGGGAAGTGGGAAATCTGCTGAGTTACATTACAATGGTGTTTTCTAACATTAATGTGGGTCTGGCTTTAGTCATGTCCTCATGACTTTAGTGGGAATGAGCCCCTAGCCCCAAATGAGCCCCCTCCCAGCTGGGAAATCCTAGTACTGTGGAATACAAGCCAAGAAGTTAAGAACTATTATAAGCATATAATAACTCATTTGAAAATAGGGACAGCTAGGTGGTACAGTGGGTAGAGTGCTGGGCCAGGAGTCAGGAAGACCCATCTTTCTGAGTTCAAATCCAGCCACAGACACTTATTAGTTGTGCGACCCTGGGCAAGTCACTTCACCCTGTTTGCCTCGGTTTCCTCATCTGTAAAATGATCTGGAGAAAGAAATAGCAAACCACTCCAATATCTCTGCCAAGAAAACCCTGAATGGGGTCACAGAGAATGGGACACAACGGAAACAACTAAATAACAAAAAGGCTTTGAGATCTGCTACTGTGGGACGTTAAGCAAGGCAATCAGTTTTCTCATCCTTAAAATGGGTACATCAATTCTCATATCATCCCAAGGCTAGGATGGGAATTACATGAGATTACAGATTCGAGAGCTGATTCCACTCAAGGAGAGCAGATGCACCTGATCCCTGAGAGAATCTGTAATAATTAGAAATGCTTTAACTCCTAGGCTGGCTTCCCTGTGCTTCCCCCACCCCCATTCAGGGCTGAAACTTTTCTGAGCCAGGGA